TTTTTTTTATAACTTGAACGGTTCATCGTATATACTTAAATTGCCGAAATATATGAATTTTACTGGTAAACATAATATTTATGGAACTTTTGACTTTTAGGAGGTAAATATTTGACTTATGAGTTTTTTGCTAATAACCTTTTTTATGTAAAATAATTATATGTATAATTTCTTTCTTATAAACTTTTACGTAAAAATCATATATTTTGAGATAAATCACAATAACTGAAAAACTACCCTTTTGATTGAATTTTCAACCCTCTTGTGGCACGTGTTAACGTCGACCTATCGCGACCAAATTTTGCACAGTTTATTTTTACATGTATTAGAACAATTTTTTGGTGCGCGTAAATCGAATTTTGAAAATTTGTATTTTAAGGACCACCCTAATATATATATATATAATATTGATGACAAGCACGTGTGTACGAGTACGATAACTAAAAATAAATTTTTATAGGAATAGTGTTATCGTCGTGTGCTGAGAGAGGCGTGGGGTAGGGTGAATACGTTATGACAGTCTAGTTTCAAGGCCATAGACGACGAAATATGTGATAACACGTGGTGCTTGGAGAATTACATACATACATACAGGTGAAACTAATATAAGCGTGTTAAAAACGGTAGCACGGGGGGTCGCGGCACTATGCCACGTTCATAGTTGGGACAAGATAGATGAACTGACAGTGATTAAAATCACTATCATAAGAAACGCTTCGATGCAAATCTGTAGATAGTATTTAATTTTAAAAGATTGGTAGATTATTTCAAAATCAATCATAACTCTTATTCCCTTAATTTTATCCCGATTTATAATTATAATATATGAATAAATAATAATTATAGTAATTAAATTTAGTATGAAATTGATATTCAATAATATAATATTGTAATTTTTACGAAGATATTATAAAAATAAAAAGGAGTTGTATATTCATATACTTTTAACATTTTAAAAATTTAAAGGGATTGATGCAATACTTTTTAGTAAAAAAATTTTGTTACTTATGAATAAATACACTAGACTACAAGGAACTTTCATCAGAAACAAAAATATACTTTTCTAAATCAACTTTTCGCGATGTTTTCAAATGTGCAATTAGACTTTTTCTATCACTTCTAAGTTTTAATATTATTACTTATTATTAAAAAATAAGTATTTACACATAAAAAAAAAATAATTAAGAATAAAAAAAAATTGTTTTCAGATTATAACTGATTTAAATTTTTATTATGTTAAAAATAATCATTGCAAAATATCATTTTTAACCAATTTGTTGGTTCTTTAAAGTTGTTTTTTGGGAAAGTTTATAATAAAAAAAATTAATTTAACCATAACTTTTAGCTCAACTTGCAAGTTTAAAATTGACATTAAGTAGAAAATTTTATGAGAATTAAAAAATTTGTATTGTTAAGATTAATATGCGCAGTCAGGAAATTTTATAATTACCATTTATAGTAAATTTATCAGAGTAGCCCAATATTTTTTTGTATTTATATTGTAATAGATAACTTAAATAGAAGTAATAGTAATCATTTCCTAGTAACTTTTGGTGTTTAAAAAGATTCTGCAATTGAAATATTCAGAACTTAATTAATTTTAATGATTTACTTTAACTAAATGAAGGAGGGTCGCGGAACAGTGATGACGTGGCATAGATGGATCAAGTATAATGATATCTGACAGTGATTAAAATCACTATCAAAAAAAACGCTTCGATGCAAATATAAAAAGAAGGGGCAGTCTGTTTCATAAAAAAACTTTCTTGCTACCAATGGCTTATGAGAAATTGAGATAACGAAATACAGAATGATTCTTTTAAAAGCTACTTGGAATATTAAATATTAAGTTTTTTTTAACTTATCCTTTATATCTTATAAGGGTGTTAACTTTATCTTTTTAAATGGAAACAGACATATTCACTAGCTTATGTAAAAAAATTATCTAGTTAAGAAAATGACTAACTAAAAGTTGTTATCAAACAATAACAACTTTTAATCCATTATTTTGGAAATTATAACTATTTTAAAATATAGAGTGGCGGTGGTGTGTAGGTTTGTTATTTTATTATTGCGTATTACTCTGCGTGCTCTTCTTTCACTCTATTATCAAAAATATTAATAACTTTCAAAATATTGATCCAAAAGTTGTTATCGACCAGTCATTTTATTAGTTAGATCATTTTCTATATTATAAGATAACTTAATATGTATGAAGTCGTTTAAAAAAATTAACTTTACAACCCTTTGAGATATATTGGATGGAACTAAAAATTATTTTATACGAGTTAAATGAAGATACATAAATAAGTAACAAAATCTAAAAAAAATTAATAATAATAATAAATTATTTTAATAGAAATTGAGTGATTAGTGTTAAATGACTAAATTTAAAAAATATAGTTTAAAAAACTAAAAAAACACGCTTTTAAAGTACATCGAACTAAAAAGTTAAAAATAATTTTTAAAATAATTATGAACAAAAAATACTAGTATTATTGTGATAAAAGCGTCGGGCGCTCAATATACGAAAAATATGGCACAAAGCACCCACGCTTTTATCACAATAATACTAGTATTTTTTGTTCATAATTATTTTAAAAATTATTTTTAACTTTTTAGTTCGATGTACTTTAAAAGCGTGTTTTTTTAGTTTTTTAAACTATATTTATTTTTTACTTTTTAGTTTCATGTTATGATAGTAGTTACTATCAATATCATGGTTGTTACGGGTAACGGGAAATCAGGGTTCGATTCTGGGGAGGGAGTCTGAGAAACGGCTACCACATCCAAGGAAAGCAGCAGGCGCGTAAATTACTCACTCCCGGAACGTGGAGGTAGTGACGAAAAATGACGATACGGAAATCATCCCTCGTAATCGGAATGAATACTTTATATCTCTTAATTAGAATAAATCGTGTTAATATATTAATTTTAATAGTAATTAGAATATATATATTTATACAAATAATGCGACTTAACTACGTAAAAGTATCATGCACTAAGTATAGCTGTGTTTTATGGCCGGGCGGGTCGGACTAACGTTATACCCGAGGTATAAACGGCGGTAGGAATATATATATATATACGTAAGGCGCATTAGACGCGGGCGTTATTGGTCAGTCAAAATAAAAATTTGTTTACATATATATAATATTGATGACAAGCACGCGTGTACGGGTACGATAACTAAAAATAAATTTTTATAGGAATAGTGTACCGTCGTATTGTGAGCGAGGCGTGGGGAGGGGTGAATGCGTATAACAGTCTAGTCTAGACAACGGAATATGCGATAACGCGTGGCGTTTGGAGAGTTACAAACTTACAAACAAACAACAAACATACACGTGAAACTAATAAAAGCGTGTTAAAATATCAAATAAGAATTTTTTAAATATAATTATTATTTTAAGAGATATCGTGTGGCTAATAAAAAAAGATCCAATTTTTAACACGCTTATATTAGTTTCACCTGTATGTATGTATGTTTGTAACTCTCCAAACTCCACGCGTTATCGCATATTCCGTCGTCTAGACCAGAGGTTCTCAAAGTCAAATGAATTACGGACCCCCATCTAAAGACCTACAGTTTTAAAGACCTAACCCTGATATGTGCTCGCGGACCCCTGGGGGTCCACGGACCACACTTTGAGAAACTCTGGTCTAGACTAGACTGTCATAACGCATTCACCCCTCCCCACGCCTCGCTCACCACACGACGGCACACTATTCCTATAAAAATTTATTCTTAGTTATCGTACCCGTACACGCATGCTTGTCATCAATATTATATATATATATATAAACAAATTTTTATTTTAACTGACCAATACCGCCCGCGTCTAATGCGCCTTACGTATACAAAGTGTTCAGTGTTTCTATTGTTCTCATTGTTACAAACAATTACTATTAAAATTTATTTATTAACACGCTTTATTTTAATTAAGAGATATAAAGTATTCATTCCGATTACGAGGGATGATTTCCGTATCGTCATTTTTCGTCACTACCTCCACGTTCCGGGAGTGAGTAATTTACGCGCCTGCTGCTTTCCTTGGATGTGGTAGCCGTTTCTCAGACTCCCTCCCCAGAATCGAACCCTGATTTCCCGTTACCCGTAACAACCATGATATTGATAGTAACTACTATCATAACATGAAACTAAAAAGTAAAAAATAAATATAGTTTAAAAAACTAAAAAAACACGCTTTTAAAGTACATCGAACTAAAAAGTTAAAAATAATTTTTAAAATAATTATGAACAAAAAATACTAGTATTATTGTGATAAAAGCGTGGGTGCTTTGTGTCATATTTGTCGTATATTGAGCGCCCGACGCTTTTATCACAATAATACTAGTATTTTTTGTTCATAATTATTTTAAACTTATTTTAAAAATTATTTTTAACTTTTTAGTTCGATGTGCTTTAAAAGCGTGTTTTTTTAGTTTTTTAAACTATATTTATATACAACTATTTTATGATTCTTATTATGTTCCGTAAAAATTACAATATTGAATTATTAAACATTAATTTCATACAAAATTTAATTACTATAATAAGTATTTATATGTTTTTTATACTTATAAATCTCAAAACTTGTAATCAGAATATTATTAAGGAAATAGGATATTGTGTTGCTTTTTAAATAATTCAATAATTTCTTCTAAAAATTAAACACTATCTATAGATTTGTATCATAGCGTTTTTTTTTTATTACTATTTAGTTACTGTCAGATATTATCTATACTTGTCCCAACTATACCACATCCGTACTGTGCTAGGTTTTGAAAAATATGACCACTTTGTCATCTTACTAGACACCTGGAGTAAAATGACAAGCACTATTTTTATTTATATATATATATTGTTTGAAAAATCATATAATATGTTGTATAGTATAATTAAGTTTTGTTAATAAATTATATTAAATGTATTTCTAACTGCAGAAAAGAGACAGCACCACTTATTTTTTTTATTATGGCGCTTATTGGGAAATTAATTATGCTGATTAAAAACTGTGTTGATGTACATATTTTAGTTAATTAGTTTTCATCAAATTTTATATTAAGTTAAAAAACTATTTTAGAGTCAAGTTTTAATACTCATGGTTATGGAAATATCTCCGCAACATCATAAAATTGTTATGGGACCAGGCAATGAAACTCTGAGAGCTATTACCCGCCGTACTGGTGCTCAAATATTGTTTCCAGATGCTAAAGATCCTAACATACCTTCAATTAAAAAAAGTAGTGTCACAATCACAGGACATATTCATAATGTCTACGCGGCTCGTCAAATGCTTATTGTAAGTACTCTCATTCCTTATATTTGATTTTAAATAAACAGAGTAACAATATAATACATATTTTAAGGGCTCATTACCATTGCTTCTTATGTTTGACATACCGCAAGACGAAATGGTGCTAACCCATGAACAAATCGACAGCGTAATGCAACGTTTAGACATACACATTTCACTTAGACATAAAGCTAGTCAAAATATTTATACGGTTTCAATAAAAGGTTTTGAAAGATCTGTAGGTAAGTTAATTTTTAATCTAAATAATTATCCAAAATTAATATTATTTGAATTATCTTAGTTGTAGTATAAATGTTTGTATTGTGTCAATATTATGAATTTATAAATGATAATAAAAATCCTACTGTTAATTTATCTTCTAACTAAGATAAATCTTCTATGCTCAAATCAAAAAAATAATTTATTTATCAAATAAACATATAAATTTATAAAATTTGTAATGTTTTCAAGGTAACATTTATGAAGGACGTAGATGTTTATTGGGTGGTACTGGAGAAAGAATATCGCCAAATATACCGAATACTTACAATGTTTCCAATGAAAATCCCTCATTTTTGATATCGAATGGTGAATTTTATGGTGGTAATCGCTATCCTAATAGACCTTTTAACAATTTAGGAGGTCTAAATAATTTTACTAATTTTGCTGGTCCAATGACATCCTCGTGTCGTAACAGTGTAGTTAGTTTACCTTTAGTAGGTAGCCACACAAGTATTCCTCAAATTAACGTGTTAGGACCAAGAATCCAACAATTGGCTAATGATTTAAAAATGGACAATTTATCAACCAACAACAATCACGTAGGAAAGTCAAGTAAAAGCCATAAAATAATATTAATAATTTTATTTGTATAATTTATAAATATATTATGTCTCTCTACATATTGTTTTACGCCAGAATTTGTGTTTTTATGTTATACTTATAGCGTTTAACTACAATTTGCAAGATTCAGCTAACTCATCACCAAATCAAAGTTTGTTATCTAACAGTGAATTAGGTATGAATATACTTTTTGATTTATAATGTTTTTACAATGATATATGTTGAAAATAATGAATAAGAAGTATAAAATATTTTAATGTCTTTCTTTCAAATCTTTATATATTGTCTTCCCGCTTAATTTTTGTTAGGTGTCTCTAAGCATTATTAAATTATTCTTATTACCTTTTTATCTTAATTTGTCTCGTATTTTGTCAACAGTTGATTTATTTTTTTTTTTTTGAATAATTATAAAATAATTTAGTCAATAATAATTTTTTACTATAACTATTATATATACAAATATTTATAAATTTATATTTTTATCATATTATTATGATACATAATTATTTTCAACTTAAAGCATGGATCACTATCCTCCCACACTGAATGCATTTCTTTCTAAACTATCTCGGGTGTTGTGATTTATGTACAGCCATTGAATTTTTTTTTGTGTTATTCGTAATTATTTTATATTGGTATTTTTTTTAAATCGTATTTTGTAGATCAAGAAATGATCGAAAACCGCGCGCCTGGTTTTCGCAGGCAACCAATTACTTATGATTATCAACATTTACGAGTCGATGCTGCTCGAGGTAATGTACTTACTAATATAATTATATCCTATATGTCAATAATAGTTCATTTCATTGAATAAAAATAAATTTAAAAAAAATGTTAGCTATCGTGGTACACCTGATAGATGTGAAACTTTTACATTTATAATAAACCCATCACAGGGGGGTCGCGGCACAGTGGTGACGTGGCATAGTTGGGTCAAATATAATGATATCTGACNTCATAGTTGGGTCAAGTATAATGATATCTGACAGTGATTAAAATCACTATCATAAAAAACGCTTCGATGCAAATCTTTAGATAGTGTTTAATTTTAAACAATTGGTGGGTTATTCCAAAAGCTACATTATCTTCTATTGCCTTATTTATATCCTGATTAAGATAAAGTATATCGAATGAAAGAGGGAAATAAATATTATTTCTCATAAAAAAATTTTATTGATCCATACACTTTCAATAAGTTATAGCATTATTAAGTTAAAAAAGTAAAATATAAAATCGAAAATTTTCAGACAAAAATAGCATTAGATAACTATTTTAAATATTTTTTTTCCATAATAAAGCATATTACATTAGCTTTAATTTAAGATGTATATAAAAGTATCAGACTTCCGGAACATTTTCAAAAGTTAAGTTGAAAAGGTTAATTTTTTGTGAAAAAGTTGTCATTTTAAATCCCCCCTTGTGGGCAGGTAAAGGGTCATATTTATAAAAAAAAATATACCAAAAGATAGGTAAAGACATTATGCATCTATAAAAAAAAAATTATATTGATTTGATTATTTTTGAAAAAGTTAAGGCAGTTTTAAGTAAAAAAATTTTAAAAATGTTGAAAATTAGCGATTTTTAAATTTCTAATTTTTTTGTAGATTTCCCCCATTTACGGACAACGAGGGAAATTTTTTCAATTTTTGAGGATAATGTCTTCGACTAGATACGATTTGTGATTTTTTGACGTATCGTTAAAAGAAATCGGTCCAGTGAGAGCTGAGAAAAAGTGGTAACAGACACACACAAAAAAAAAACGCATCATAGTAAAATTAATACCTTCTCAGCTTCGCATCGAAGCTAATATAGTAGAAAGGATGGTTTAATAAAAAAAATAAATATTCTTCAAAATTGAGAAGCCTTGATTCTTTTAAACAATTTTCTGTAATAGTAATATTTAATACTTCCTCTGACAGTATTACTGTGACAATTGGTCGATGATTTTCACTAAAGTCATATAAACAATTATACAATTCTAAAATTTAAAAACTATATATGAATTTTATTATTTTTTCTAATTTTTCAATATAATATGATCAATTTTATCAATCTTTGTTTGTATAATCCGTTAACGTCTCTATTAGGTTAGAATTGGGTAGGATTTGAAACAACACTATACTAGTAAATGGTCACTGAAAAACTGACTTTATTATGAATGGGTCTTACAACACATACAATTTATAATCTACATATATAACGCTCTCAAAAAATATAAACAGTTTCCTAATCGTTTAAAAATATTTCTAAAAATCAGTGAAGTTCTAATTTTTATGAAAAAATTTTCATGACAAAATATACTCGTTATACTCGTATTCATGTACTATGTACCCATTAAATTCACATCTTAATTATAAAAATAGGTAAACTTACTCTCGACTTTAATTATTTGATTGAAGTGTCACTATATCAATTTTTTTATGTATTACATGATAAAATTTTACTGGAACACTATCAACCCCAAGTTTTTTATGGCTATATTCGACCATTACTCATTATGTATCTTTTTCATAAAATTGCGAGCACTCACTGGGGTAATCATGTCTTCTATATACCACCCATATTATAAACTTTATGAGGATCGCATATTTAAGAGACAGGACATATCCTCTTACCCTTCTCTAATGGCACCCATTTATACACTATAGGTATAAGAGTTTAGTACAGTGAGGATTGCTGAGTCGATTAATAAGAAAGTCGTCATGTCAATGGCAATTTGACCTGCGCAAAAATTGTTTTATATCTAAAAATAATAGTAAAATTGAAAATAGTATCAATAGTTAACTCAGATATAGCTGACCATGGTTATACTTTTATATACAATTATCATTTTGTTGAAATGTTTCTAAAAATAATTATTACCTTCTTGAACTATATTTAAAGCATAGTTTAGCTTCGATGCGAAGCTGAGAAGGTATTAATTTTACCATGATGTGTTTTTTTTTTATGTCTGTTGCCACTTTTTCTCAGCTCTCACCGAACCGATTTCTTTCAACGATACGTCAAAAGATCAAAAATTGTATCTAATCGAAGACATTATCCTCAACAATTTTAAAAATTTCCCTCGTTCCCCGTAAATGGGGGAAATCTTCAAAAAAATTACCAATTTAAAAATCGTTAATTTTCGATATTTTTTCAATTTTTTTTTATTTAAAATTGCCATAACTTTTTAGAAATAACCAAATCAATATAATTTTTTTTTATATAGATGCATGATATCTTTACCTATCATTTGGTATATTTTTTTATAAATTTAACCCTTTACCAGTCCACAAGGGGGGATTCAAAATGACAACTTTTTTAACTTAACTTTTGAAAGTGTTCCGGAAATACTGCGTCTTTTCAACATATATAAAATTAAAGCTTATGTCATGTACTATAAAATTAAAAAAAAAAATTTGCCCTGACGACCTATCTTCAAATGGCTACCATATTCAAAAGTATGCTCTTTTTGTGTTAAAATTCTGGGTTTTGCATTTTATTTTATTTTAAAATATCTTACAAGGGAAATAAACTGACTTTCATGAATATTATATAATTTAATTAACATAGAATAAAGTTCATAAGACATAAGAAATTAAATTTATTAAATTTCTTTTACTTTTTTAAAGGCGAAAACGTAATTTTCAAATTTGAATTAACTTAAATTGCTATTTATCATGCGACGAAAGCAATGAACAGTTGCCGATTCGGTTCGAATCCACCTGTGGCAAACAATATTATGCATTTTTTTTGAGTTAGAAAAAATTGTTCAAATCATTTGATTTTTATCACATTTAGATTTAATAACTTCAATAAATATCAAGGATCCCATCACTATAGTCTCCCCTCGTGAGTAGAAATTTCTTATTCATGTTAATATTATTTTACTATGTGGTTTTTCTTGTGACTACGATTTATTTTTCCAATCCTCACTTGACCTACTTTTTTCAACGATACGTCAAATGATTACAATTCGTATTTAGTTGAAGATATAACCCTTAAAAATTGAAAAATATTCTTTATTCAAATAAAAAGTACCTTAACCAGATTTTTCCATACAAACAATTAAAATCATTAATATCTAATATTTTTAAAGTATTTATTGTCGAATTAGATTTGATATGATAAAAGTATTCAACTACAAAAGTAAATAATTTTACTTTGTAATTTATTAATTTTTTAACTCTATTTGTGTGAGCTACTAACAGTCTATAGTATTCCGAATTTTTTTGTAACATGTTGCGACATAAATCATAAATTAAAAAAAAAAATGATTTTTAGTTTCACTTGAATTTAACGATGGATTTTTACAATTATAATCAAAATTTTAATTCGCTCAATTGAGTAGATATTTTTAACAACTTTTTTTTTATTGGTTATTTTAGTTAAAGTAAATCATTAAAATTAATTAAGTTATGAATATTTCCATTGTAGAATCTTTTTAAACACCAAAAGTTAATTAGAAATGATTACTATGATTTTATTTAAGTGATTTATTACGATAAAAATGTAAAAAAAAATCTTGAACTTTTCTGATAAATTTACTGTAAATAGTAATTATAAAATTTCCTGACTGCATATTAATCTTAACAATTTCATTTTTTTCTATTTAATAATGTCAATTTCAAATTTGCAAGTTGAGCTAAATATTATGATAATAAATTCATTTCTTTTTTTTATTATAAACTTTCACTTTAATGGACGAAAAAAAGTAGGTTAAAAATTATTATTTATTAATTATAAAAATTATATAATATATAAGTAAAAGAATTACTAATCTGGATATAATTAAGGAAATAGAAGTGATGTTTCTTTTGTAATTATTCACAAATTTTTTAGAATTAAACACTATCTACAGATTTGCACCGAAGCGTTTCTTATGATAGTGATTTCAATCACTATCAGATATCATCAACTATGCCGTGTCCCTATTGTGCCGCGACCCCCCTGTGATGGGTTTATTATAAATGTAAAAGTTTTACATGGTGAAACCTGTGCTGGGTTTTTTTTTATTAATTATCACTTTTTTTTCAAAAAATGTTTGAGGGGTAGATGATAATTTTAAGATATTTATAAGCATTTTAAAACCTAATTGGTATATTGCAGGTGGTGCACACATACCAGTATAGACTGCACCAATTCGTAATATAATTATTAAAAAAAAAAAATTAGAATTGTATTAAAAGTTATAAGCATTTGAAGAACTCTATATATTTGTTAAATAGATACTAAAATATAATAAATGATATGAAAATTCCCTAACACTAGTTTGATGTTTTTAATATACACATTAATTTTCTATAAAAATAACTACGGAATTATTAAATTAAGTTTTCTCCAACAACATTTTTTAAATTATTCAATTTTGTCAATATATTGTAAAAATTTAAATGTTTTTGTTTTTAGTATCACAAGCGAAACCAAATCGATCAGAAATCAGAGTACCTACGTCAGTGTGGTCAGGTTATGGTTTCAGTCAATCTAGTCCATCTGCCTTGTTAAAAGGACAACGAGAAGTTTGAGATAGTAAAACATAAGTTATACTAAAATATTTTAAATAAAATTTTTTTCAGAATGAGCAGAATATATGGAGTAATAACTCTCCAGAAGCAAATGCTGAAAATACTATGGCAGAGTTAATGCCAATGGAAATGAGTAATCATTTAGATTCTACTCCTACGTCGACAGTATCTAAGATTACTTCATCTTCATTTACTGATCTGCCATCTCATTTAGCAATGCTTGGATTAGATAAGTATATAAGTAAGTAATTTATATTAATACTTAATATTGTTAATGAGAGTAAAAATAAGCTAAACAAATAACTCTTTTTACATACCAAATGTTATATAATTACATATTGAATAAGAATTTAAAATAAATTTTTACCCAAGTTAATTTTAGTTTGAAATTACTAGTTGTAATAAATTGTATGAAAGTTTATAAAAATATTTACATAAATATTATTAAAAAATATTTATTTCGTATTTCAATATTTTATAAAGTTTACCATTGACAAGTCGAAAATTAATTTAAATTAAGCAAATATTTTTATTTGAATAAAGTATCGAATAGATAAAATATGTATACTTTTAATAATGAAACAATGTAAATTGTAATATGTTTGAATCTATACATCTTATTTGGAGTTTCATTGAAAATTTCGTTACTATTTCATATTTTTAAATCCCTTTATTTCGAGTCTACTCATATTAAATAGGAACCGTCTATTCTTTAATCTCAATTGAGGCGAGTCTCAAAAAAATAACTAGTATGTTTTTGTGTAGTATTAAAAAATGTTGAGCTTTAATATCTAAATAGTTTTTTCAAAATAATAAAATAAATTATTTTTTAAATGTTACAGATTTGTTTAAATCTCATGAAATTGATTGGACCACTTTTAAGACGTTGACGGAGAGCGATTTGCGAGAAATCGGCGTCACTGCTTTGGGCGCTCGTAGAAAAATTTTACTGTCTATTGCTGGTAATTACTTCATTATAATATAATTAGGATTAAACCAACGTAAAGATGCATATTTGCTTAAGATCACGGAGATGGAATTTAAAACTTAAATGACCATTTTGAGAATTAGATGGTAAATTAATATTTTAATATTACTTTTTGCTATTAATTCTTCAGTTGAATAATCAGGGTGTCCGAGGACAACTAACATTATGGTAGTAGTAAAAAATTTCTCTACTCCTTCAAACAAAAGTAAATTTTTTATTTACCTTGTAGTTACTTTTGTTATGAAGTGAAGAGACACCCATATCCTTCTCCGTAATATACTAGAGCAAGTCTCTTATCAAAAAATAGAATAACCTCTCCATCTTATTTATGTCCTATTTAATTTTCACTTCAAAAAAATGCAAAGCAAAATTATTATTTTATTAATTTTAATTTTTAAGAATTAAACAAAAGATGTCCGGTTGGTGGTTTATTTGGTATCAGCCCAGCTCCAGGAGCAGAAAGAAAGAGTCCCGCATCAAATAATAGCCCATCAGACGCGTGGTAAATTAAATTGTAAACTAACAGCACGTTGAATAACTTGAAATAATTTTTTAATTTTAAAAAAATATACAAATTATTATGAAACTCATGTAGGGTTTTTAAACAATTTTTTCATTATAGAAAATATATATATATAAGTACTAAAACGTATTATAATAACTAACTTCAGATTTATTTAAAACATAACAAAACTTATAATATTTTAGTAACAATTACACTTTATATATAATCTTCGTTCAGCACTAGTATTAATATTATTAAATTATAACCAAACTTTTCTTATGGCTTTTATACTCCTACTAAAATATATACATTTAAATATCCTATTATTTTTTTAATTTATTCCCAAGTGTATTTATTTATATCGAACTGTGCTTTATGTTGTTTTATTTCTAAAAAACCGAATTATATAATTGAATATTTTTTATACGATTGTCAATGTTATGGTATAATATGTGTTTGTTATTTTTTTAATAATGGTCGATCGTTGGAAAAGTACGTAGTACGATAGACAAGATATTTATAACTTATAACAACTTGTGGAGAAATTTTTGATTTATGATTTTTTCAAAACCATTTATTGTATCCATTATTATTATGTTTAATTGAGTTCTATATTATCTTATCTTATTATTTTGTTATGTTATTTACTTGAAGTATTATTATAATTTTTTTTGAAACTAAAAATAAAGTATACCTTATATAGGTCTTTATGTAATTCATAAAAATAATTTGATGTTTTTGTAAATTATTATGAATATTTACATAATAAATCAACTAAGAAATTATAAACGTAGTAATCTGTATTTTTATTTATGAATATATTTTTTGTATGCAATGATTTCAAAATTTAAAACAATAGAATGATTTATGTATAGCAGGGCCAGATATAAAGCTGAGTGATTTGGGCATACGCCTTATACCTTCGCCTTCTTTGAGACATAAAAAAAACATCAAAGTTTTGAAATTAAAATCTCTCAACATTAACTTTATCAACTCATCGTTAATAATTTGTTTAATTAAAAAATTTGAGTAAAAACAAAAAAATTTAAAATCCTATTACAAGGATTATGATATGCGGAACGTTATTAGGTAAAAATATCGAAATGGCTGAGCAAGGTGTGTGTCCATCTGCTTAATATAAAACTTAGCTCACGGAATTCCAACAAGGTATTTAACGATATTATTTTTAATGAAATATTATTAGTATAAAAAATTATTTTTATATAAATTATTATTAATTTTTCACAAACACTGTTAAAAAATGAAGGATTCTTACATTTAAATTTTTATTTATATTTTGTCAAATTTTTCATGGAAGAAGAAGTTACTATAATCAATAGTTGGTAAAACTGATTGGCTGATGGGTCATCTGAGTTTGTCGGTCAGTCGTCAGTAATGAATTGTTACAGTGAAATTTCCATTTTTTTTTTTTACACAATTTATTAATTATTTTTAAACAATAGTTTTTTATAGTCTAATACTTGAGTTTTAATAAGTATTTTTTGTGTAAATTCGAGTATTTAAATGTGTTGGTCTAAAGTATTTTAAAAATATTGAAGTGTTTTGTTCTTATCAGTGACCATAAGAAGGATATTATTAATTTTGCAGTTTACTCAACATTTCTAGTTTATTATAACTTGAGGTACAGAATAATAAATACACATTAGTTATAGATTATACTTCTCGCAGTTTTAATTACTAGTTTAATTTGTAATTATGATATTTGTTGACATAACCTTTATACCCTGTTTTATGGGTATTAATGAATATAAGACTTAATATGATTAGATATTATGTTAACTCTTTTATAAAACAATAGGATATAGTCCTCATATGTTGTTACATTTTTTAAATCTATTATCTATTTCAATCTTGTACTCTATTGTACATTTGTAGATATTCTATGAATATGCTCTATTAACTACTAACTGATAACTACTATATCAAATTCTAAAGTATTTGTATTAAATAATTTATTTATCAAATTAAAGTAATTTCAGTTTAAAATTATTATTCTCTAAATTGTTCTAAACTTTGTGTATCAATAACCACTTAATAGGCTAAATTTGAAAAACATGAAACTTAGATAAATCATAATTAATAATTAATTTAATTTACCATGTATATTTATAATACTAATTTCCAATATATTTAACCTGGAAGGTGAAAATATTAATTTATTTTTATAGGTATATTAATGTACAATAACATAATTGAGGTTTGTGTGTAATTAAATTTTAGTTTAGCATAGGAATGATATACCTTTTTGATATTTTGCATATTACTACCTAAATAGTAATAACATGATCAAAACAAAGTTATTATTTTAAGAGAGTATCAAAAAAAAAAAACATGACATCATATTTAATATAGCAATAGGTAATATTAAAATTTTTTATGGAATGTGATAACAAATATGTGTTTGATAAATACGGTTTTAATAAAAAATATGGGTATAGAAATTTTTTTTTATTTTAAACATTATTTCAAAAAAAATGTATGTTGTAATGTTACGGTAGCTATTTTTTTTTTTTTTTTTTTTATACTGTAGAACCTTGATTAGCTGTATCTCAATTATCCGTAATCATAAAAAATAAGTATGATCTGTACATATTATAAATATTTATAATCAACAAACGTGTTAATGATATATTTGACAGTTACAATATGAAGATAAACAATATTGTAGATTGTTTAATAAATTATATTTATTGAATTATCTTCAGTTTACTATTGGCCTTCACTATGGCCGTTCCAACGTAATTTAATAATGAGTGCTTAATGAAAACATATTATTCTTTCTCTAAAGAAAAAAATGTTGATTATTAACCGGGCTGTAGGTTATGGTGAAAATGATCAAAAACTTGCGGATAACTTCAGGTGGGTTAACAGACAGTGCGTGACATAAACAAAAAAATGAATTTTTAAAGTTTAAGTGTAGAATTATCAGCTACTAGAAAAAGTATGAAAAATCATTGTTATCTTACATGGAATTTGATCTTTATGAATAGTTATAACACAACTTTTTTGAAGGTGTACCAATTTCTAGGCCAATGGTTTCATGAAAATTTAGGAAACATTTAATACTTCATAGAGCTTGTCATATAGCTTTAATTTTGTCATGGTATAAGATAGCTGGACATTCAAAGACAATATTTGAGTGGAGATTTGACTTCTGCAACACAGTTTAATAAAGAATACAATTCATTGCTTTTAAAATTGAACCTGTCTCTGCCTCTTAAAATACACACAAGCCAAGCAATGAAAGTAGTTGATGTCCTCCTGAACTTCTGTGAATAGGAAAATGTTGACTTCCATGACATATTATTGGTTTAAGAAAATGATCTCAAACCAAAAAAAACAAAGACTGATGTATTTCTAATTATAATTAAATAAAAAATTTCAAATATTCATTATTATAAAAAATCTTGATTAACAACGGTTTTCATTTATCCTTATGCTTACCTCCCCATAATTACCCTGTATAATTGAGGTGCCACTGTACTGTTATTAAAATAAATAAAATATAACTCAACCCAAGGGGGTCGTCGCAAAGTTAGGACATGTATAGATGATATCTGGCAGTGATTAATATAAAAAATAATTTATGTGTTGAAACTGTTAAATTTTACAATATTTTTAACTTCACAGTTTTTTATGTTTTAAAATGTTAATCAAATATTAAATGCTTGTTAAATTATTTGCTTAATTTAAAATTGAATTAAAAATTAGTTTTTTTTTTTTTTTTTTTT